AGTACGGTTTTTTATGATCTTTTGACTAAACTTACTAGATGTTTCACTTATAGGGACAATTTCTGTATAAAATCGACTTTTTAAAATACCGTTTGTAATTACGCCATCTAGTGGTCATCTGAGAAATTTCAAAATAATTTGCAGCAAATTCTTTTCTTCAAGTTTGTTATCAAATTTTTTTCCCGATCACTCTACAACACATACTTTCCAAGATACCGCCGCTTACCATCCTAATTGCGACACCCTGTATATTCCAAAAAACAAATAAATGCATTCTATGGAAATATATGAATTCTCATTAAGTATCAAAAACAATTATTTGAAAACGTATGAGAACACAAGTTAGAATATACAATATTAGTAAAAGCTAACGAACATTGACAATTTTTATTCGGAAAAATAGCACTAAAAAAACACCCGTTTTCTAATGAAGATGCAACCACTCATTGCGGAGCTTTCTTCGTTCTCTTCGTTTCTAAGTTTCGTTCAATATACTTTTTGCCACAAAATGAATTTAAGTGAATTAATTCTTCACTTCAAGGAAAAATTCTCCAATTTAAGAATTCAGGTTGACTATAACATTTCGAGAACTTTGATACTAAAAATTCGTTCATTATTTATGGACGTTTCCATCTACAAAAACCAATTGAATACTTCATTTCAATGAAATGTTTCCTTCATTTTTCGTACTACTACCAAATAATATTTCAAGAACTATTTCGTACTCATATTGTTTTAGGTTTTAACCATACTCAATTTTTGTCTCCTCTTTTACCTCCTTCCTTCTACTTTTAAGATCGCAGTACCGTAAAGTTGAACATCTAGATCCCCAAAATAATATCAAACGTCTTGTTCGTGACGATAAAAAATTTGGTTTATTTTTCACTTCCAACTCTTTTGCTCCTCATATTTCGCGATGTCAGTAATTAAGTCCAAATACAGTAGCATTTTTGTCTTGATGTGCGCCAAATGTTTATTCTGTTCAAATCATGCCGATTTATGCAAGATGCAGAAAAGTTCAGCATGCGTCTATCGATTGATGGCAAACCACAGCACCAAGTTTCTCCTCCATGCAATATAGGAACAAACACAGCAGCTGATCATTGTTGTGTTCGAATATTAATGTGAATTAATTGTTCGGTTTCACCAAATTCAAATATGAACCAAATTTCACTTTTGGTCAGGTACCATTTATCACCATCAACAACAAGAACTAATTCGGAAGCTGCCAGCAGTGTAACTTCTTCGGTTCCATTAATCCCAGAATCATTAGAAAACAGGGTTGTAACAGGGCGTAATCAATGTTCTATTGATTACCATAATTTTCCAATAATACGCTAAAAATTATAATATCGCAGATATGCAAATCATTTTAATGTAAAAACAAAGAGTTTCGTGGGGGTGCTGTTATGAGTCTCCTGACCACTCCATCTTTGGCAAAAACAGCTTTTTTACATCCGGCAAGTATGAGAAAAGATAATTTAATTTTCAGACACTTCACCTAGAGGAATAAAAAAAGCAAACGGAACTAGGGTGGTAAAATGATTGTTTTTAGTGCAAGAATAGGCGATTGTATCTCTTTAATAACTGCTTTCGATGTGTTTATTCCAAATGACTATCAATGCAATTTCTTCATACATCATACATAACAGAATCCGTTACTGTTTTTTGCAGATCAGCCTTCTATTACCTACCTCCGCGTTTCGCTACCGCTCACAAAAACAAAAGAACTGAACGTCACGCGAACCAATCTTTCGCTACTCTGGCTACTCAGTAAACGTTGGGTACTATTGCGGGTACCACGGTTCTTTTAGTCGAAGTGGACCGGCTTTCGGACCAAAACAAACTCTTTGCGATGTATTTTTTAATTCGGACACGTGGGTGATTCAGTTTTTACTTTGTCGGTCTTGGTTGGGCAAATCTATCAGACTTGCCCATGCGAAAGTAGTGTAGTTTATGTCCTTGCTATATGGAACAGTTATTAGTTATAACTGTTGCTTGATTATTAATTGGCATATCTAGGAGCCCTTCAGTTTAACGTATGTTAACTTTGGATTACTATTTTGCTTTCAACTAAGGTGTGTATATGAAATATTGCAACTTTTTGTAAGAAATCCATCAAGAATTGACCAAACTTGCCAATAGTACTGAGCAGAAAATTGTCTTTGGTTACTTCGTTTTGTAAACCTTGAGTGTGACGACTTTCATTATCAAGAAACATGGAGTTAACAAATTGTTGAATGTTTTCAATCGTAAACCAGTTCAGATCTTGTAACCAAATTTGTTGTCCAGTTAATTGCCTAATTAAAATGAAATTGGGTTGCGATAAACCAGTTGAGGAGTCAAGTACTATCTGACATTAATTTGGAAACAAAATTTGGATTTATTGTATGTAACTGGTAGATTGATTTAGATACATTAGTTATCCTTGCGACCCTTATAAGATTTATTTACTGTTTTATTTTTTCATTCAACAGAACAAAAATAGTTCAGTGCTTATGATTAAGTCTATCACTAAACTGGCTGATTGAAAATGAAATGGAATAAAATGCAACGAGTAGTCGTTTACGTGCCTCTGGTTAGATATAAAATATATAAGAATACCTAAAATGAAAAAATAATCTTAATAGGATGGCAGAAATAAGACGGTAGATATCAATCTTTCGCTATCGGAACAATAAATGGAAAATAAACTACATATTATGAATTGAAATTAACTACTGGAAAATATTCTGAAAAATAGGAAATTTATTATACTCAAGATGCGAAGATTATTTCTTTTGAACTTTTGAGTGAATAAATAAAAATGAAATAATCGAACGGTTTCGAACTTGAATTATATTAATTTAAAAATGATCAAGTTGGTTAAATGTCTAGGTTGAAAATCACAATATAGTAGAAAGTAGTCAGTCAAAAATTGATTATCATAACATTTAATTTACGGCGATTACGGCTGCACTATAGATGAAAACACAGAAAACCGGATAAAATTTGGATACCGATAAATAACCGATATTACTCGTTTACTCAATAGCGCGGTCAGCGCTGCGCTAAGTGCAGCGAAATCTCACTCACATCAAGGTTTCGCTTTATCGCTAAAAGCGGGAAGGAGGTGACGCGGTCGCACCAAATTTTTTTATTATTAATAATTATCTTATAATACCATGAATAAATTTATTACCAAGTACATATTTAGCATTATATTTGTTTCTTGAAAACATTTTTTTTCTGGGAGCTTTGCAGCCGCCACTCATTCGGTTTTACGAGTTTATTTTAATTACCTAAGTACTTTCATTCTTCCAACACTTTTCAACAAAATATTTTTTAAAAGTAAATGCATTTAAAAATTGCATTGCATTAATTACATCTGCATATTAAAGAGTAGGTAATTTTTCAAATTATACGTCGTATCCTTTAGTTCAGTTCAATGCTCGCAGCGTTACTTTCAATTTCATAAAGCTGAAAACCGTTCCGCATTTTTATGCGCCCAACCACTCTCATCACTGTCCAACTCTAGTTCATTTTTCTAGAATAATTTAATTAACAATGACAACAATCAGCTAGAGTAAAAACGTTGAAGTAGGAAAATCAGACAAAATAAAGTTTGGAAACGGAAAATATTGTTCACTCAAAAAATAAAAATGCATTAAAGCTAAGCTGTTTGTTTTAGTCATTTCATGTAACATCATCTGGCTCGAATAATTTAAAAATACTTTTACACAGTTCAACTGACGCAAAAATACCTAATTGTGCTTTTATGTTTTGGCTGAAAAATTTAATAAAGTTTTTAATGGGATTTTCAGCAGCTTTGCGCTATATTAACCGGATATTTTTAGATTGTATTAAAAGTTTTCAAGTACCTACGCATTTCGATGTCAGGCGAACTCACTCAGGACTGTTTTTGACTGAAATGTTCAAATTTTCATGTTATTATAATATATTTACTTAGAAGGTTAGGATAATGATCCAAGGAAATTGTACCATAAACAATTTGTTTTCAAGTGAAAAACAAACCTGTTTAGAGCGATTTCTGTTAAGTGAACTTTTATGAAATTTGATTCAAATAATATTGAGAAAAACTCAGCATTTGCGTGTCTTTATCGTGTAGCTTTTTGGTACATGTGTATGTATGTACATACTCTATTTCAAACACGTGCCCTTATCATAAGTTTGGCAAAGTAATTTGTCGCTCCTGCTGGCACTACTCGCAAGCTCTTTTCCTGCTTAGTATTGCGATTGTTACAAATTTCAAACTTTCGTACTGAATATTCATAAGATTATTCTTCTTTAAGGTCAGCGCGTTCTAGGGAGCATTTATGCGGCTCAACTTTCCTGAAGAAATTGAATAAAACGCTACATATTTTATACTTAAATGGTTCAAAACTGAAAAATGTATTTGGTATTTACCTGGGCATAGCGATTAGCTAGAAAGACGCAAGTTTTTTTAGTAGAATTTTATAATGGTAAATTCAGTAAAATGCAAGCAATTTTGAAATTGAAAGTGGATAAAAGTTGAAGTTTATATTTAAAATATGTTTATGTCGCTTAAACAAACCAAGAATTTAGAAAATTTTGTTTACTTTTAAAAGCATTCCAATATGAACTTAAATTGCATGAATTCGGGTCAACGTCTTTACAATTTCATTGAACAAAACTGATTTATTTTTGCGTTTTTTCAGGTTTCTGGGCTCACAAAGTCCACAGATGATTTGAGCAAGAAGCAACGACTCATCTTAGCGGACCCAAAACTGAAGAAACCGAAGATTGTAAAGTCGACGGTGGTAAAAACGGCCAAAAAGCGAAACGCACATAAGCCAATTAGTGATAAAAGCTTGTTTTCCAATTCAGAAGAAAGTCTTGGACATTTAGATGAAGTGTGTGATGTGATCGGTGCGACAGATAAATTGGTGAAAGTGAAAGATTGTGAAGATTTTCGCCGATCGGATGATAGTGGAATCAATCAACCTGTGCGAAAAACCATTGACCATCCTCAGGATTATTGTGGAGAAATTGAAAGTAATGGTAAAGGTTCGGAATTTATATGTTTGGGCGTTTTAGTTACTTTCACTCGTGAACTGGGAAAAATTCTCTTCTTCTTCTGGTTAAAGGGACAAAATTCTTTTTAAAACTCAATTATTATTCATATAGCTATGAACAAACATTATAGAGAACAGGCATACAGAAAAAACCAACTGCAAAGTTTTTGCTCAATAAAACTAGCAATATATTTGCATTGTTAAATAGACACGCTTTTGAAAATTGCGGCTGGGAAGCGAAAAAAATTTAATTTTTTGAAGAAACCGTTATTCCGAGATGTCGGTTATGATCCGTTGAATTTGTGAGATTGAGTGCATACCAGCACATTTATAGTCAATACTTAATTTGTTGCATATAGTGATTTCCTAATAAGCATAAAAATTAATAAGCAAATATTCTGCTGCTGTTAAAGGCTTGTCCAATATTGCAGATAAAAACACTTTAAACTAATTTATCAAGCCTCATTAACCCAATTAGAAAGTCTACTGTTCAAGATACGATTTTGTTAACCACAATATGAGTTCTTTTAACATTAGTTCAAGAATTAATGCAAAACCGTTATTGATGGACCGCAAATTTAACGCGTAGCTTTTGAGGATGAATATTTTCTTTTAATTGATATTGAATATGATTTGAATAATTTGGAAAATGCTGACAGTCTTAAGTTATTTTCCGCGAAAAATTATGAAATAAATTTCGAATCCTTCGTAACTGTATAAAAAGTTTAGACATTTTCGTTCGAATTTGAAACAAAAAACAAAAAATTTTCTATCAAAAATCGAGCAGAATAAGCGAAAGTTTATAACAGGTTATTTGGAAATCTCATCATCTCAATACCTCTGAAGACTGTAAGAGTTCGTTAAAAAAATTTAGTTTTTTAGTTTTGACAGAATTTGCTTTGCTTTACTTTTTACTCGAAAACGCGCTATTTTGTAGAGTTTCACTTAATAATACTGCCGATCTGAAGGTCTTTTACGAGAAAATTTACAAGATAAATTTATAGCTTTGAAAAAATTTTACAAAAGTTTTCCAGCGTCGAGTTCGGGACAAAAACGAAAATAAATTCCTCTCGTTTTTTCCCGAAAACCGTTGAGGTTTTTTCCAAAACCGATCACAAAACTAAAAGTTTTTAATCGAAAACGCAAAAAACCATTATTTTCACATGATTTTCTTCTTTTGTGATAATAATGGTATCTTTTTAGCCAATTCATGACTGAATTAATTTTGCTAGAAAATTCTCCTCATTCATCGGTTTGCAGGGAACTTTAGAAAACCCATTTCAGCTTCGAATTTGGCACAAAAATCAAATAATTTTATTTATTTTTACCGAAAGTAATTAGGATTAACTTAAAAAAAAAACCACCAAAAAGCAAAATTTTACAAAGAAATATTTGGAATAAATAAAGTTTCTATTAGGCAATTCTTTCGACGCAAAAATCGCATTATTTTTTAGTTTTACTTAAAATACTGACAATCTTCAGGTATTTTCCGTGAAAAATTATATGATAAATTTTATTGGAAATCTCGCCTCCTTAACCGCTTTACAGATATTTTTGGAAATCTTTTTGCAGCTTTGAATTATGGACAAAACCCTAATAATTATTTCTGGGTCGTTTTCCAAAAATATTTCCCGAACTGAAAAAGCAAAACTTTAGAATCATTTATTAGTTAAACTCTTGGAAACTGGGATTCCTTCGCTTCTAGGTCAATATTTCTGAGAGATGAGAGCGATCGTAACGAAATGTATTTAATCTGTCCTTTCTGTTTTTAATTTCGAGAAAGGCTGTACAAACAGTTTTTTTGCAAGCATACAGCTACCAACCTTTGTTTATTTTCTTACGTATGTAACTCCATAAAGAAACAGGACAAGAAAAACATGCTTATGCGTGAAAACAAAACTATCTTCTTCTTAAGAAAACAAAAACTTTAACAACCTAATGGAAAGAGCACAGAGAGTGACAAAATAACAAAATAAACAGAGTTATCAACTAGAAATTTAATGTTGTTCGTTTGATCTTTCTGACAAATATTTTTTCGGAAATAAAAATAGTTTAAATAAATTTCGCGCGAAAAATGTGCCTGGCTATAAAACATCTCGACTGGCTCAGGGCCTCAGGATAAACAGCCAATTAAAGGTTCACATTATTCAGAAGAAATTAGGGTATCTATCTAATCTGAGATTGCCCGCAGAAAGATTTTAATTTTGACCAATAAAACCTGACAGTATTTAAAGCCTGCAAAATATGCATATTTAATTTTTTGGCTTATTTTTTAATTTAAATTTGGTTCAAGAATAGATGATTGATTCGATAGAAAAACTTTTCACATCGTTCAACCCGCTCGGAAAATATTCACAGCCAAAAGTTAGAGAATATATAAGCTTCGCGTTAAATTTGCGGTGCAGTGCAAGTACTTAGATGTGAAATTTGATATATTCTAGAATTCTTGATAGTCAAGAACAATTAACGTTATTGGCCACAAGCCAAATACCCTAAACTGATGAAATGTGAGGAGTTTACTTAATTGTTTTAATTTTAACCAGTTTAACTGCTTAAGTTAGCATATGAAGCCGTCAGTCTCACAATTTAATACTTGATCAAATATACTTGATAATATAATGATTAATACTTGATCAAATAGAAGAAAAATAGTACGCTCTTATAATTACAGAAAAAATCTAATAAGTACAAAATACCTTGAACCTTCATTTAAGCAGCTAAGAGGAAGCACATAAAATGACACTGTACTTCTAGGCCTTATTAGTAAAATCTTTTCATAGAAAGGAGAGCACGATTGGTTATAAGTAAAATAACACTTCAAAAATACCTGGAAAAAATTGTAACGGATAATTAAATTTGTCTATGAACAGAAATATTAATATAAGTTAATTGTTACATTTTATTCTTTGACCATGTTGAGCACTTGAAGCAAACATATAGAAAGAGGTTTCATTCGAGCTTAAACATATTTCTGTGCATATGTTTGCAGGAAATTCAATCTTTCACCTTGTGGATCTTTTAATAGACTTGTCTGTTGCAGGTCTAGGCAGAGCAACACCACCTCAAATTCATGCTGTTGCCGCAAAAATCATCGATCCTCTTGAGCCCAACTCCATGATGAATCTAAACGAATCTCCGCCTCGGGAAATACCTATAAGCGATTCCAATTCGTCGAATTCGGTTGCAAAAAGCCATTGCAACAACCTTCACAATAACTCAGTTGATTTCATCGAAATGTTAACATTGGACGCCAAAGAGTTTCTGACTATTAAGTGCGTTTGTGCAGTGAAATCCGACGCACGGCAGGCGTTTTGTAAAGAGTGTTTCCGCAATTACAAAGGATCGTTAGATAATATTAACGGGGAAACATCCGAAAATAAAAGCATGGATGCAGATGAATGCGGTGGCTTATTTAACGATGACAGCGTTTTAATAACCGAAGCAAATGGCTCATGTGAAGCAAAATTTTTAAACAATAGATTGCCAAATGCTAGAGAAATTGTCGTTGAGACACACAATAACGGAGAACAAAAGCCTGATTACAAAACGAATGATCGCTTAAGCTACGCAAAATGTACGACTCAACCGGAACCAATCGATTTGAGTCAGTCTTGCGTTTGTTCAATGAAGCAGAGCACCGAAATAAACAATAAAGCATATGACGACCAAAATGATAAAGAATCTAGAACATGTGATGAAATAAAACGAGTGAAAAATGGAAACAATTCTGCTGGGGATGAAGCTGAGGAGCCTGAAGGTTTATTGACGAATGCCATAGAGTTGGATTTAGAACGAGCTGTCCGGAAATTTTTGCAAGTGGGCTCCAAACCTCCAAACCCTTGTGCTTTGGGCAAAGAGCTTCAAAAATGTGCTTGTCATTCGATGGCTGATTCGAACCACAACCTGCTTTCCAACATCCTGAAAGCCATTCAAAGCAACTATCAAAGAGCGGAGCTCGAGCAAAGTCAGTCGCACAAATTCAATGCAGGAAAAGAAAGCTATGAAGAAAGATGTAGAAGCACACAAATAAACGCCACAGAAAGGACAGAAAATGAAAATTGCAGTAACTATATCGATTTTCCGGACACAAACAAAAATGGTAGAGGATATTGTAATGAGAACGTTTTCTTAAGACGAACCGAACCAGGTCCAGAAAGTCCTGATGAAACTGAAAGTGGATCTTCTAGCACAAGTTCAGTAAGTTGTGAGAGTAAAAAATTGAAATTTACAAACGGCGTGAAGCAGACACTCGGAGATCCAGGAGTCACTTCTTGCAAAGGTCGTGGGACTAATGCGATACAGCCAATTATAACTGATCCTCAAAATAAACTGATTAATTTGGAAGCAGTAAAGCCAAAACAAACGTGTGTAGAGTCTTGCAAGTGCATTCAAGCATCTTTGGCGACTGTTTCTGAAAGCCAAGTATCCGTTGAACATGCGGCAATGGAAAACCTAAATGGAAGCAATTCAAGAATCCTTGATGAAACAGGAAATGTTGGGTACGATCAAGGAGGCACGATAGCTAACAGTTCTAGTCCGGCTTCTCGCAGACATTGTCAGCCATCAAGTTCTTATGCAGTTCTCGATAGTAAAATGTCGCAAAAAAGTGAAAATGTAGTTCCTTCAGCTGCAAGTAGTTCGTTGATTTCAAGTTGCACGGAGGGAATCAACTGCTGCTCAAAAAGTGCAGTTGATTTTTCAAGTTCATTCAGTTGTGAAAACACAGGTTTAGCTAGGCATAGAAGGAAAGATATAGTAAACGGAGATTTACCCAATTCTGATGGATTTGAAGCAAACTTTACTGGAGCAAATGGTGCAAAAGTGAATGAAGAAGGCACTCGGGAAGCTGCAGATTCAGTTAAGTGCGCTAATAATCCTACTTTCGCTGCTACCGGTAACGAGCCTTTACGCGACAAGGCTGGTAAAGATGCTGCATTTGCAAGCTCCCCAACTTCAGCAGCATTAGCAGATCTTGTCGGTGTAAATCGTGAAAATATCATAAAGAAAGAAAAAAACAAGGGAATTGACCTTGACCCTAAAAGCATGCTGGAACACGTCGTTAATCCTGCGAGTTCTTTGCCAAACTCTTCGGAAAGGCTCCCCAGCAGGAGCGACCATCGTCAGCAGTCAGCCTACGGAGAATCGTGCGCTTCTCTTGGATCGATCGGTAGCGATGGACGCTCGCAGGAGCAAGCGCCGATTTCCAGTCGCGAATTTGCCGTCAACGTCGTTCCCAACGACGCTGCCGGGATCCGTGTTTCGCAGGCCTCTAATCCTGCTGCTGTCAACCTTTTGTTGACAGAACCCCCGTCTGATTTCTGCCAAACTTGCACAAGCTCAGAAGGCGCCCGTTCTGAGCAAGTGAATCTAATCGGGCCTCGCATTGCAGCTGCAAAACAGCAGGAACTTACGTGGGAATTTCGAAACGGACGGCTTGTGTTTGCAGAGAACAGAACAAATTCAGCTAGTTTACGGCCAGGTGCAGAACAAGTGGTTTGTTCAGAATCTTCTCCTACTTTGAAAGTTGACGAAGGAGGGCATCAGTTGCGGGAAAATTTGACCGAAAATCTTCATGGATCTGCGGATGGTGATGCTGTAGATGCAACAGATCAACAGGCTATCAGTGAACGATTTCCATTAACTTCCAGTGCAAAAATTGAAGTCGAACCACCTGTTCCTCAGATTAACAACTGCTCAACAGATGGCTCAATTCTAAGTTCAAACCACATTTTATCGAGCAGGGATATTAATAAACGTGCAGGAGATATCAATTCGAGGCTGAAGTATTTGGAGGATAAGTTGAAAAAAGCTGGAATAACTGATACCAAAAGCTCAAAGCATAGTGAGGAAGGCACTTTGATTGTACCTAACTTGAATTGTGCCAATAAAGATAACACTGAGCCAGATAAAAACAACAACAGAAACAACCTGGGATGTTCAGTTGAGGCTCAATCCAGTTGCGATTGCGGCCATAATAAAGACATTTCCAAAACTCATCAATACGTGGCATTTAATGGGAATCTGCAAGAAGAAAACGGGGACCTAAAAGTAATAAATTACAGTGACTTTCAGAAAGATTCTTCTGGTTTTTCTGAAAAGGAAATTGTAAGCAGAGGCATCGAAGACAAAGGAATTAATAGCGAAAGTGAAGATTTTATTCCGGACGGTTTCCAGGATTTTTGCCAATTTGATGTGAACGACTTAACAGGTCTCTCTGCATTTGATACTAATGAGTCGTTAGGAATCTACGATGAATTTCTTGAAGACAGCTCCTCTGATGAATCGTGCGACTGTGTTGAAGATGACCATTTTATTGTTATAAGGTAGGTTTAAATTAATTGAATAGTTTGCATGATACTTCTTAGTTAGTTGGCGCCTATAATTATTTAATTTTGCCATAGTTTGCCACATTTTAATGGAACTTATCCAATCCACTTTCTACATGCCCACATATATTTTGCAATTAAGTCCACTATTTCAGTTGTCGTATAACACGAGTTTTTATAAAGTGGTTGGTCTTTAAAATACGAATTTTCTGTTAATCCTGGCCGGGTTAGTGAAGTAGAATCTGAGGTAATTTAAATTTAATCTAAATAACTAAATACTAAATAATAATAAAAAAATACATAAATTTCTTTGATAACATTTTAAAGTTGTCATATGTACTCTGAACTGAACTGACGCTAATATACATTCATTTAATTTCCCACTTGACTGTTGGAAAGGTAAACTCCTAATAATTACAAAGTCTTTAAAATTCACATAATTACAACAACCAATTATGGCCGATTAAATATTCAAAAAAACACATAACTAAAACGAAAAGCTTTGAGTTGTTTGTCTAATGTATGCATACCAGATTTATTTGCTTTGATAATTTTTCTTTTGGCTTAATTTAATCTTAGGCAACACTCCGATCATAATTTTTTTCCGCTTTTAGCTTTCGTTTTAGTAAGTGAATCTAATGTTTAAAGGTTCTGTTCTCATAGTTTTCAATGGATAATAGATAGTTTGTCTTATGTTATAATTTTAGATTTTTTTTTTAGATATTTATGAAAACTGATTTGTTAAAGTACATAAAGTAACAGTAAAAAGCAAATAAAAACGTGAATTTTGCATTTTGGAAAACTAAATTAAACTCCTCGAGCTTTCAACAGTTGGATATACAGTTTTACCAAATAAAATAAGAATAAATTTAAAAATACGTGTAAAATACGGGTGTCTATTCCAAGCAGTTTTATCTCGGTTTGAGTAATGGTGTAAGATATTGTAATACTCCTAAAACGGGTCTATTTTAAACTCTTTCTAAATATAGCAGCGTAATATCAAAATTAAACAGATTTTTTCCACGCAGGACATTGCTCGGGTCTTATTTAGCGGATGAAAATGCGATAACTTATTGATTGTTTAATATTGCGATACGCAGATATCTTTACTGCTTATATTATTCGTGTAATTTTTATAATAATTTCGACGCTTTCTTGTTGTGTCCGATTCCTACACCGATTCTATGCAATAAATTCATTTAATGCTATCTTGTACTTAATAACTAATTTTACAGGCAACATTTAAATTCAATTTGTAACCACATTATACAGTACATCCGAAAACAACGTAAATGCCTTTAATTTCCTAATGTATTGTATATTTAACGATTGATTTCTGGCTCGATTTTGTATTCAGTTTGCTGTTGTTGTTATCACTTTGATAATATGTTTCAACCAAAAGAAATTTTGTTCCGTTTTGTATGAGTTTTTGGAAAACGTTTTGTATGAGTTTTGGAAAACGTGCCATTGATACAATATTATACAAATACATATATCTACAAATATATTGCGTGTTATAATTGTTATACCGCAATTTATCTTTTTACAGAAGAAACGAAACTTCGGTCCAAATTGTGGGGATAGTTTTTGGACAAAGTGGGCATTTTATCAAATATTAAACAAAAACTTTAAAATACATTTTATCCGTAATTCTGAAGCAAAATGTTGTAGTTTACAATTTTAAAGTAACATTTCCTATTATTTTCACTTTCACGTATTTATTTTATTATCTTATTTCACACATTGCAACCACAAAATTACTCGAAAATGTACTTGCTTTCTCAAATTAACGTTTCTTTCTGGTTTTTGCTTAGAAAATGTACAACTTCTTATAACAAGACATAAAATTAAAACATTAACAGACGATTTCAGGAGACTCTAATCACGAAAGTTACGAAAACTGCAAAACAGACAAAATTTTCCTAAACTATTAGAAAAATTAATAACATTAATACCAAGATAATTAGAGAGTAGAAGCAACTGTAATGCATTTTTAATCAGGCTTATTAAATTTTATTTAAAAAATCCTCTAATGGTTCTTTTGCGATAATTTTTACAGCTTCTTCAGTATCAGAAAAACATGAACTTTTGCGACTATTGCTATGCAGGAAAAAACTTAATTCTACGGATTAAATACCCCACAAACTCACAAGTTTCAGCTTCTTCAATGTTAGTTTCAATCACCTTTTTTTAAAATATAAAAGTTTTGCCATTAAGCAAATTTTGTATATTTTATATATCGTTATTCGATTCACAACGTTCTTATCAATGAAAAAAAATGAAAATCAGACATCAGACGTTTAATTTAATTTGGCTTTCAACTATTTAGGTTTCTTTGCTTGCCTTGCTCAAATTAACTTGTTTTTCTAGTTTTTGTATTGGAACAAACAAAATTTAGTATTGTCCTGACAACATTCAAATAATCAATAAAATGATCCCCGGGGAAATTAGAATGTGGATGTTACCTACCTACAATTGTAAAAGTTTTGGTTTTATTCAATTATAAAATTTAATAAAAAAAGTTTAATGGTTATTTAAATGGTAGACTAGCTTCTTACATGTCACTTCGACTGACCAAATTTCAAAAGAATCCTTATTTGATTTGGCTTTTCTGAAGCTGACTAGCGAAGAAATTACACTTTTATATAAAATTGTGGTCTCAACATCATTTCAAACAATAGTTGATACTGTTAAATTCATTCATGTTCATGAATGTTTTGRCTTAAAAAAATTCCGAAGATACGAACGAAAAAAAAAAGATAATAACGAAAGATACCAGCAATTGTATAAATTTAACAGTGATTTAATCGGGAAACGCATGTATATTTCCTTAAGCTTTCTTTAGATATCAATGCGGTATTATTTATTTTTGCTGGTTTTCCTGGCCAAGTTTAGATGGATTTATTCGATCGAAATAAATCCAACCACAATATCAAGCTCGAACTCAATCAAATGGGATGCTCAGTTGAAAACTTTTTCTCCATTTCCAACCCTACAGTCGGGTATTAAGTCGATATTGTGTGGCGGTTACGACATTGCCAGGCCATGCAATATAGCTTTCAGTGATTTTAAATTTTACAGTTTTGTTTGTTATTGTAGGCGTAATGTTTCTATAATTCCAAGACTTTTATTCAATTTGTAATCGACCTAATATGCTCGATTGCGGTTGGAATATCATATTATTGGGTTTGACTTCAAAATGCATGCGATTAACGTGTTGGGATTTTGAATTGTTTTATTTAGCGCATGATATGTAGTACATTGGCTTTAACTTTTCATGTGCTATTGTTTGGATATTTTGTCTGGAAAATTTCCAATATGCACAATGCATTACTGTGAATTATACGCACACGGTTAATATAATACTCGTTTTTATTTAGGAGAAAGTATAAAAGCAATAAAGAGGATTAAAAAAAATTAAAGGTTAAAAGCCATTATTGATCCAAAGAAGAATTTTAAAATTTGTGAAAGTTTTGGTTTGAATTCATTGAATTTCTATATTAAATGTAAAACACTCAGATTCACTTGAGTCATGATTTTTTCCTCAGTAACATAAACATTGTGCGAACAGGAGTTTAAAAATAACTTGGTAATCTGCTATTTTTTACATTTTCGAAATTGGTGCTATTATAAGTTGAAATAGAGTTATGAGTTACAATAAATACAGGTTCGTTCTCGACTTACAGGGTGTTAGAATTACAAGAAATTTATATTTTTTTGTTTTATTATTGCAGTGTTGTACCTCATTGCACTTGCAATCAACTGAATTGCCATTTTCACCTCTTTGTCTGTTCACTTTTCAAGAATTTAAGTTATTTTCTTCTTTGAAATACTCTGCGCTTATTAAATCTCATCATTGTGCATTAATTTCCTTGTACTTATGTAAAACAAGTTTTAAAATTACTGTTACTTAGTGTTATATGTTCATGTGTATTTTGTACCATTTATTGCATTTAATAAATAATGATTAGGCTTTTAAAGGCAAAATAAAATTCCATTATATTTTATTCTATCACTATGTGAGTAGTTCTCACAAAGTAATTTTGAAAGTTTCAGATATACATTGTATACAATTTTGCCAGTTTGTGCTAACTGTTCTTGATTTTTCTAAACCACGTTTCATTATTTTTTCAGAAGAATGAGAGGAGACGGAATTGCGATGGTGAACGAGTCCCTGGAGCGCAACAAGCACAATCCCGACAGGGAGAACTTGAAATCTCTCCTTAAGAAACCGGGCCATCTGAATGGCAGAAAATCGAACCGCGTCGTGTTTAACGAAAAGAAAAACGAATTTTTCGATGCGGACTACATCATACTGATTCGCGAAGACTGTGAACTCGATGACGATGACGATGATGGTGTCTGCACGTGCCAACAGCATGAGATGGTCAGACTTACGTGTTGTGAACCGAACTGTAATTGTCAGTATGAGGGCGGCATGGAACCGACACCGCAAAGCCCGAAATTTGCTCCTCCAATGGAGTTTGTGGATGCGGTCACTTTGAGTCCTCCTGAGGGCTACAAAGACATGGAACTCATGGCAGTAGCCAGAGGCCAACAACGAGGTGCAGTGTGTCGGGAATGCAGTGCCACTCATGAAGGGGAAATTGATGAAGGTAAGCGAATATTTGATTCTCACTGAAAACATATCTAAGATATAAAGAAGTCAAGCTTGTGCCAATCACAGCATATTATAGAAATTCTACTACTCTCGTAATATCTTAAAATGTACAGGGTGTGCTGAAGAGATGAACATTGACAAAATTAAACACAATAAATAACTCGAAACTAATCGGATTTAGCGCTTTTCAAATTTTTAAATTTAGGTCAAAACGTCGTCTTTAATGATTAGGTTGTAGAAAATTAATTAGAGCTCATAGTTGAACAAGATTTTCACAGATGAAGTTCGGATATTGTTTCGCGCTAATAATTTCCAATTTTTTGAATTAGTAAAGTTGTTTTCCTTTTGGACCTCGTGTAAGATGTCGATTTTTTTTCGTCCTGGAAGTGAGTGGCGAGAGGCTAATAGATGGGTAGCAAAACTGAATAGGTCGCAACGACATCAGATTTTCTATGTTTATTAGAACAATTAGCATTGCACGTACTCTAGTGGAAAATTTTCTCCCAGACTGACCAAAATGAACCGACACAACTTAAGTGTATACGCCTTATTTTGAGAATAAATATAGTTTCTATTCTTCTTTTATATCGATCTTAATTTTTTATTGGAAGCTAATTCCGCAATTTTGACTAACAAATGTACTTACTTAAATAGGAACTGAGGCTAAAATTAACAACTCGATTATTTTAACGAAATATTGAAATATGGATTAGCGAATAGTGTCCGTTTCAAGAAGTCAGACCCTCAGCCAAACTTAGCATTTGGTGAATTTAATGAAAATAAATCGTACCTTAATTCGCAAGTAGCAATGTTTGCGTGCGTCAATCTAGATTAGTCTCCAATCGATTGATGAGACCTCTGATGATATCAACTGCTCGTAGTAGAAAAACGCCCCGGCGAAGAACCCACTGGTTAAAGCCTGTGAATTTCAGTGAGAACATTACTCGACCCGACAGTTTCCATTGCAAAAATCTCGCAGAATTATATGGAATAAGAAAAGTCGTCATATTAAGCTGTCTCGAAAAGGACCATTTAAAGAAAAAGGCAAAATGTTATGCAATCTGTAAGAATGGAATAATTTAAGGTGGAGAACGGGGTTGTTGCTCGGGCTTCCATTTTATAAATCGGTTCGACTTTATTTTTATTTCAATTTAATTTATTTCGTCTAATGGGGGAATGAAGGAAAATGTTTAAAACCGATTGCTGCCGAAACGTATACAGGATTTAAGTTATGAGCAATATGGCCTAAAGAACAGGAGAAAATTGTATGTTAAAAACGAAATGAAAAAATCAAATATGTTTTGTCATTTATGTTCAAAGATCTGTAATTAAATTCTGTACTTTAATATATTTTTTTTCAAAATAACACAAGTTGACCCAAAAGTAACACCAAGCAGGCTTTTCTTGAAATTTGTACCGCAATCATCTTCCAGTTCGTTGAACATGTGTTTTTACTACTAAAATACCAACAATGAGCGTTTAATAACACTTAATAACAGTACATTTTAAAACTTATATTGATAATAATGCTTCAAACGGGAATTTTGCGCGTTTAAAGCGTTATTTCCGCTACGACAAATTGCAAAAGAACCTGAACTCCAGGTCATTGTTATTCCGAATATTTGATATACCAAAACGCTCTCATATAGTTTGATTTACAAAACATGCATTTTTTGGACAATACTAGTAAGATGGAGATGTGAAACGATGGTCTTATTTTCAATCTTCAAAATTCAAGTTCTTCAATATTCCAAACTAATGTTTTAGTTGGCAACTCGTTAATTCTCTTTCCATTACTCAGAACTCGAGCGCTGTAGCTCAAATGGTTCTTGTGTTATGACTAAAAAGACAGCGTTATGTTTGATCTGGTGCCCCTATTGTTCCAACTCCCCGTAGAACTAAAATGATGTGAAGAGTTCACCTTTGGCCTGTAAAATAGCGAATATTTTCTAAGTGATGTCTACCTGTTTAATTTTCTCTGCAGTTATATAGAAACACGCTTGGTAGCTTAACTTGTTCCCAAGATATGACCGAAACGGTGGCGTCATGCCCTATTTGTTGTTTTTGTTCTTTTCTCTATGTCCTTATGTGGCATTTGCTTTGTCCATAAAACATATTTCAGATTTTCTGGGGCAATAAAGCATTTTAATTTGATTTGATCTTCAGTGCCAATCTTATATTTTTTTTGGATATTTCGATGTTCGAATTCTACGAATTCTAAGCGACATGGATTAAGTGGATCCAATGCAGTAAAACACTCAAAATAAAAAATATGCGGTTTTATTACCACCAAATGTTTCTCCTCTCACATGGACGACATGTTTATGGTTTAGAAACTCACTTGCATCTCTTATAAGATATTAAAGTATAAGGATTGATGCCAAATAAATAAAACTGCTTTATATTTCACAAAACATCGATTTGCCCGCCTAAATTGAAAATATATATTGCAAACTAAAATTAAGCGATCAATCATTTTCCGTATAAACAAACTCCTAAAATAACAATAATATCTGGAACGTTTCAGCCAAGTGTTTTTACATGTCGGCCAAGTTGCTATTAGCTTTGCGAAACTGGGAACAATTTTAATATTTATATTACCATTCTCCGTACAATATGCAATAATTGGATATTTTCATATCAAATGAACACAGATAAAATTGATTGTAGCATTATTTCAGCCTGAAACAGCTTTTGTGGGGACAGAACTGAAACACCTTATAAATTTATTCGCTGCATATATTTGAGTTCAATACCGTGCGCAAATGGTGTGGTTTATTCAATATTTGATTCAATGTATACAATTTGAAGTTAGGCTTATTGGAAATTGTCCAAATCGCTTAAAAATACCATGCTACTGTAGAGTGTGTGCTGTTATTTGCAGCTTAAAAGTATTATATTCTGTTCCATTCAATTTTATTAATATGAATGAGAAGTATTTCAAAACTCGGGTTTTATAACACCAGAAAATAGAGTGGGTTTCAAAATTTTTTTGCTGCTTCAGGGTTCAAATATAATGTTCAATAACTTCCTTTGAAAAATCATCAAGCAGTTCAGTTTATGATAGAAAAATACCAACACAAAAAGAAACGGAATTAATTGCGTGAAACATTTAGTTAATTTTAGGTAACTATGAGAAATAGCTAATTGCTATATAATTACAGTTCGTTTTGTAAGCTATATGCGAGATAGTARMTGCCCAAATGTGTTTCGCAGTCGATTACTGGAAATATTACATTCAATTTAACTTGGGCCCATTTTCTACKGTTATTACATTACATTTTACTTAGTAAATGACATGAAATTTCAAGTCGCTTTTTAAAATATTCTCATTTTATTCAAGGCTTCTGACCTGTAAGTAYTTATTAGTTGAACTATACAAAGCTATGCAAATATCCATATAATGTCATACAATTTATGTATAATGCCATACAATTTTTAACGAACGATTTTTTAAAACGTTGCAACCGCAGTTTTTAAGGCCTAAATTGCCATAAAAATGGGGTAACTGCGTCTGAAAAAGTTGCAAATAAAGTACAAGTGCAAGTATGAATGYTAAACSTAAAAGTTGAACAGTAAKTAATATAGTTCATAAAAAAGATGTGTATTTTATGCGGGACATTTGAATAAACCTGTATAATAAGTGACTAGAATWAGGTACTTGGGATTATGTTTATYCTGAAACTGCAGCATTTGCTAAAGTTCTCTAATAGACATTTTCATTTGAAGCGGTTASAAGCAAAAAGRTACAAATTTGGTTTTSAAAATGAAAGAATATAGAAATGAATAATGCAGAAAATCGAGTTTAAAGTCTAAAGCTTATTACTAGAATATGGGTGGAAAATGTTCAATTAATATTTTGTGGTTCTGTTAAGTTCTGTTCGAGTTATTCAAACATATTTAACTACAAAACCCAAAACCGCGTTAACAATTTTTTAATTGTACTTAAAAACTCACTTGTATCTTATTGATATTAATTAATAATATTATAAAACTAAAATAAAACGGAACAAATAGGAGCAAAATAGCCAAGAAAGAAGCGTTATTTGCGTTTTCAATGATTTTGGTAGTTTGATTTTTCTTGTAGATAGATAATTCTATTAAAATTTTCTGAATCATCTTGCAACTATTTATAGTCGTGGTTAATTGTTCGAATGTAAATGTTAATTGTAAAAAACGTAAAAAATATAAATAACAAAAAAATTGTCATCGAATTCTATGCTAAAATTTGGCTTTCGCTTTAGAAAATAAAACATTTCTCAGATGTAATTAAAAGAAAAGTAATGATCATGCTTGGYTTAAAGGAAAATATGAAAAACAGATATTTCGTGGCGAAAATAARCTTGTTAATTTTTTTAGGGTCTTACGATCTTACGAAAAATTACGATGTTCACTTTAACCACTGCTTCYAAACATTTTTTATTTTTGTTTTCATTCTGGCCATGCCAAGTCGCTTTAGAGTATTAGCTGTTAAATTTATTCAGATAGATCCTTAATAAACTTGCATAAGTAAAAGGAATTTAGCTAACTATATTTTATCCTTGTTCTTATACACCAAATTTAAGTCGTCACTCGAGATACTATGCTTTCATTTCAAACATACATATGAAAGGGTTTTCCTTGCACTTGAAAACAAGAAAACCAGTTGACTGCATTTACTTCAAAGAAAAATGCAAATGGTTGGTTCCAACCCCTTCATTTGGCCATAGGAAAATATTAGTTGAAGCTGCTTATTATTAGAATTTTATAGACTGATTGCTGCATAACATAATTAGAAAATAGCAAAAATACAACACATTTGAGAGCTTAATTTTATCACCAAATTCAAAAAAGTAATGTTCGATACAGAATACAGTAAGTAAAAAACGTTAATAATATGAATCAAAATTAAATAGTCTGAAAAAAATTAAAACAATTTCATATTAGAATATGCGGTAGTCAAAGGTTTCAAGACATGAACATGGAAAAAATGAGAACTGTTGGGTTCTTACAACA